CTAAAGACCATACTAAAATTAATTTGATTTCTATCTTTACGTGATTTTGGTGTTGTCTGTCTGGGGTTCTGCATAGAATTAAGTCTTTGGAGTAAGACATTTGCAGCAAACTCTTTTTTCTTAGCGGACTGTAATTAGTTTAGGCCTACTTTGTTTTCTATACTATGGCCAAATTTTCTGGTTAATTTAGATTTCATGTGTAGCTTTAGTGTCTGTCTTCTATAATTAGTGTGACATCTTTATTTTTATTTCTTTTTTGGCATAAGTGGCAGTGCATGTCACCTCAGCAGTAAATTTCACGCAATAGAATGAATTCTTATTATAAACCATCCAGAGACCTGGTTTTGGGACAACAGTATGCTTAATAAATAATATTTTCTTTAGAGGCCTGTGACTTTTTTCTTCTTTCTCTTTGCTTTAGAGAAGACATGCTTGCCAGGTGGCAGTTGCATCTAAGTGGCTTTTTTGTGTTAAATAAACCTGCAGGCTAGACATTGGTTGCATCTGTAGCCAACACATTAATCTTGATTTATTGCTATTATTCAGCAAAAACTTGTACTTATTCCAGATGCCTTGCTTACAATCTAACTTTTCAGTTCCTTGCTTTCATGCAGAGTGATAGACTTGCATTTTACACATCAAACACACTTTTTTTTAAAAAAAAAAATAGGGATTTTAAAAAAGAATGTGCATTGCAACATGCATTTCATACTAGAGTTTGGTTCAGTGTATTTTTGACTTTTCAAACATTTCAGTGAGTGATGCAAAGTTTTATTCTTGAAGACCCAAAACTGGAGAATTGCTTTTATGAAGGTTCTGCCTTAGCTTTTTGTCGGCATAGAAATCTTCCCCCTTCCTGCTTTTATTGCACCTTATATTCCTGAGGATGTGATATTTTTCTCCTGCTGTCTTAATATTTGTGGTGTCGGGGCACTATTCCATAGCATATTCAACCCACTCATGCAGTGGTGGGTGAGCTGCAACTGGTTTAACAACCAGTTCTGTGACCGTGCGCTTCACCTAATGCACCTAACGTGCTTGCATGCAGCGTTCAAAATTCAGCAATTTGAAGCTCAGCTGCTAGGGCACTTCTAGGGCAGCTCCAGTAAGTAGAACAGCTGAGATGTGGAAATCAGCTGTGCCGTGCAACTCAGCTGAGCCAGAAAGAAGGAAATATAGGACAGGATAGGGCGGGGCCTGCTGATGGTTGGAACTACCGGTTCACTAGAACTGGTCCAAACCGGTGGCAGCCCATCGCTGTACTCATGTCCACATCCCACTCAAAAACATGATCAATGGTGGGATTCAAAAATTTTTATTACCAATTCTGTGGGCGTGGCTTAGTGGGTGTGGCAGGGGAAGGATCTGTAAAATCTCCAGTCAGAGGTGGTATTTGCCGGTTCTCCAAACTACTCAAAATTTCCGCTACCGGTTCTCCAGAACTGGTCAGAACCGGCTGAAGACCACCTCTCCATGATCCCTCTACCTTCCTGTAGGTCCTTGGACCAGTTTCATATTTTCGTTCCTCTTCACCAACCCAACTTCTACTTTCTGTAGTCACAATCTCAGTTGACCAGAAGGAAGAAAAGGGGGAATGAAAAGAGGACAAATAATACTTATAATTAAGACGATTAACAGATCCTGAAAAGGCACTTGCAGGGCAAGAGGCCGAAAGTTTCAGAAAGAGAGAGAACAAGAAGTTGTTGGATCACCTTGAAAACCACGAAAAGCTAAGTTTGGTCCAGGTATGAAGGCACCAGGCTAGAAACTAGGAGATTATGAGTTCTAGTGTTGCCTTAGGTGTGAAAGCCTGCTGGGTGATTTTCAGTTAATTGCAAGGAAACTGTGAGTTCTAGTCCTGTCTTAGGCATTAAAACTGGCTGGGTGACTTTCGGTTAATGGTAATGGAGAGTTCTAGTCCTTCCATAGATATGAAAGCCTGCTGGATGATTTTCAGCTAATCACAGGGAGACTGTGAGTTCTAGTCCTGTCTTAGGCATTAAATCTGGCTGGGTAACTTTTGCCTAATCACAAGGTGATGGTGAGTCCTTCTTTAGTTATGAAAGCCTGCTGGGTGATTTTCAGCTAATCATAGGGAAACTCTGAGTTCTAGTCCCTCCTTAGCCATGAAAGCTGGCTGGGTGATCTTGGGCCAATTCCCCCCTCCCTCAGCCCAACCTATTTCACAGGATTGTTGTTGTGAGGAAAATAAGTGGAGGAAGAAGTATTAGATACGTTCACGACTTAGAGTCATTTATAAAAACAATAAAGGCAGGACTTAGATTAATTATTGAATAAATAATAAAATGTTGGCATCCAAGTTAGTTCTAACAGCTTTGTTTATGCCAGAGTTTTTCAGAGAATTGGTGTTTTTCTGTATTTCACTTCTCAAAAGGAGAAATCAACCTTTTATTTTGTTTTTCCCAGTCAAAAGGTACTCCTGATTTGGTTCAACAATTAACAGCTTTCTGCATCTCACTTTGGGACTAATTAGTCATGTTTATTTCAAAGTCACACGAGCAAGATTTTGGGGAGTGTCAGTGGACGGTCAGAGGAAAAAAATTCAATAAACAAAGGCCAGGTTTTAATAGATAGAAAAATAATCTTCAGGTTTTGACTACATTGGGATTTTCCTATGATGGTATTGATCGCAGTTCAGCTCTCACCTCAGGAGAAAAATGGGTTGGAGTTGAGTTTTAATTGTATTCAGGGCCATGCTGGATTACGTGGCTTCACAAGCTGCTTTTGCCAGCCAGGCTGGTGGTCTTAAACAATAGAAAAATAGATGAGGGTATAGAAGAATAATACGGGTGATTTAGATTGATTTTAAGATGCCATTGAGGGTGCACGTTTATGACTGTTTTATATAATATAGGGTGCTAATTCTCTTTTATTTATGAATGTTTTATATAATATAAACAGGAGGTGGGCTGCTGGGGGTTCGCAGGGGTTTGGGGGAGCTACTAAGCTAAGATTCTGTGCAGTTCAGAGAACCCCCAAATCCCACTCCTGACTGGCCGCGCCCACCATACCCCTCCCCTCCAAGGAGTCCCACGTGCCCATTTTGGATGCAGGTAAGTACAGGGCGTACACAGAGGCTCGGGGAGGGTTAAAAACGGGCCTCCCAGAAGTTCGAGAAGGCTGAAAATGGGCCCATTTCCGGTTTCTAGAGAGCCTCCAGAGCCTGGGGAGGCTGTTTCGCCTTCCTGGAGGCTCAACAAAAACCTCCGGAGCCCAGAGAGGGCAAAAAAGCCCCCCCCCCCCCGCTGTGGTGCAGGAGGCTGACTAGGCCCCACCCACCATGGCCACGACCACCCAGCAACTGGGCAGAGAACTCGTTGCTAAAAAATTTAAAGCCCACCCCTGAATATAAGGTGCTAATTTTCTTTTATTAGTTCTTTTACTTTATGTATGAGATTTTTTTTTTTTAAAAAAAAAAACTTTATTGATTACAAAACCAAAATATCAAACAAACACAACACACAGAAGAAGAAAGAAAGGAAATAGAAAAAAAGAAAATGATTAAAAAACTAACAATTCTACTATCGACAGTCTATGGTTCCTTGTTTGTTATCAATATTGGTGATACATTTACAAATACATCTTATTGCGAATATATAATTATGATTTACATTTTACGTTATTTACTAATATATTTTCTATTTTTGTTCTATCCAGTCATACCAGCATTCCCAGCTTCTGTAATATTCTGATGTTTCTTTTTCCTTAAGTGCTAAGGTTAACTTGTCCATCTCTGCACAGGCTGTTATCTTCTGTATTCCATCTCCTCTGTTGGAATATCTGCTTGTTTCCAACACTGTGCAAAGGTTATTCTGGCTGCAGTAAGAATATGCAGTATTATATATTTGACATTTTTAGGAATTTGTCTATTAAATATCCCCAATAGGAAGAATTCTGGTTTTAATTCAATTTGCTCCACCGTTATTTCCTCTAACCATTTTTTAATTCTATGCCAGTATCTTTGGGCTTCAGTGCAGGACCACCACATATGAAAAAATGTTCCCTGTTTCTTTTTACATTTCCAGCAATTCGGATTCATGTTAGGAGACATTTTAGCTATTCTCAAGGGTGAGAGATGCCATCTATAAAACATTTTATAGGCATTTTCTTTATATGCTGCTGATCTTGTAATTTTATTATTCCTTGTCCAAACCTTTTCCCATTCTAATAATGTAATGCTACGTCCTATGTTTCTGCTCCAAGCTATCATGTTGTCTTTGACTACTTCTTCTTCTAATTCCGTCTCTAGTAAATAATTATAAAATTTAGTTATATTTTTTTATCTGGACCTAATAAAATTTTATCTATTTGTTGTGCTTTAGTATAAATTCCAAAAAATTTCTTGTCCTGGCTATATCTATTTTGAATTTGCAAGTAAGCCCACCGGTCTACTTGTAGCCCCTGTTCTTGGAGATCTTGTCATTATTTTAAAGTTCCTTGCGCATCAAGAAGGTCTTTGTATTTTATCATTTTATTAAGATCTAGATTATTTGGATGTATCATCACCTCCATCGTTGAGATCCAAATTGGGATTTTTAATTTTTTTTTGTTCCAATTAGCCAATAAGGAATCTCTAATTATATGTCTGTGGAAATACTTCTGCTTAATTTTCCCAATGTCCCATAAAAATGCATGCCATCCCCTCTGTAAATCATGGCCTTCTAAAAGTAAGATCCTTTTATTCGACAGATTTACCCACTCTTTCAACCAGAGTAAGGAGGCTGCAGTATAGTATAATTCCCAATTTGGGAGTGCCATACCTCCCCTGCTCTTCGTATCTTGCATTGCCTTTAGGTTTATCCTTGGTTTTTTCCCTTGCCAGATAAATTTGGTGATTATCTTGTTAACTTCCACGAAGTAATTTTTATGTATTTTTATTGGTATTGTTTGGAATAAGTAAATAAATTTGGGCAGAATATTCATTTTTATAGTGGTAATCCTCCCTAATAAGGAGATTTGCAATTTAACCCATATCTCTAAATCTTGTTTAACTTGCTGTAATAATTTATTATAATTATTTTCCATTAGAGTTTTGCATTGAGCCGTCAACCAAATTCCTAGGTATTTAACTTTTTTTACTATTTGTAATCCCATTATCCTTTCCAATTTTAGTTTTTGTTTTTCTGTTAAATTTTTATTTATTAATTTTGTTTTTCTCCTATTAATTTTAAGTCCTGTAACTTCCCCAAATTGATCTAACTCTTTCAGTAATTCTTGACCTGTTTCAATTGGTTCCTCTATGAAAAATACCATATCATCCGCAAATGACTGGAGTTTATATTCTTCTTTTTTTAATTTTTAGTCCTTTTATTCCTGGGTTCTGTCTAATTTGTGTAAGCAATGTTTCTAAAGATAATATGAAAAGCAGGGGGGATAATGGACATCCCTGCCTGACTCCTTTCTCTATTTTTATTAAGTGCATGTACTCTCCATTAATTATAATATTCGCCTTTTGTGAATCATAAATTGTAGTCACGATCTTTTCAAATTTAGTGCCTAGATTCATATTGTAAATTTGTTGAATTAGGAATTGCCAATTAAAATTGTCAAAGGCCTTCTGTACATCCAAGAATACAAGGGCTATTTGTTTTTCCGGGTGGGCTTCATAGTATTCCAAAACATTTAATGCTATCCTTAAATTATTCCTGATTTGTCTATTAGGAAGAAATCCGTTTTGATCTTTATGTATATATTCATTCAATATTTTTTTCAATCTATTTGCTATAATTGTAGTAAATATTTTATAATCAGTATTTAACAGGGAAATTGGTCTATAGTTTTGTATATGTCATGAATCTGAATCTTCTTTTGGAATCAACGATATCAATGTCTCCTTCCATGAATCCGGCATTCTTGCTGCTAGTAGGACCTCATTATATACTTCTACCATGAGAGGTCTTATTTGTTCTCCTATTTTTTTATAAAGTTCCCCTGGTATCCTGTCGGGTCCTGGGGTTTTATTGTTCTTTTGGTTTTCTATTGCTGCTTTTAACTCGGGCCACGTAATATCTCTAATTAACATTTCCTTCATCTCCTCCTTAATTATTTTATCTTTAGTAATACCCAAATAGTTTATTATCATATCCTCATTTACCTCCTTCTTTTTATAAAGATCGTCAAAAAATTTACATGCAATTTCTTTTTTCTGTTCTATCCCTTGTTGGGCATCCCCGTTCTCATCTATTAATTGGTAGATCAATCTTTTTTGTTTTTCTTTTTTAAGTTTATAGGCCAACCACCTTCCTGGTTTATTGGCCTGTTCAAAAAATATCTGTCTGGCTGTATTTAACTTTGAGACCATTCCTTCTTGTTCGATTAAATTTAATTTATGTTTAGTTATTATCATCTGTTTTTTCAATTTGCAATTCTTGTAAGCCGCCTTGAGTTGCAATATGTGAATATGCCGCGGTACAAATTTCATAAAATAAAATAAAATAATAAAAGTTTTGAAAAGATTTTTTTCCAGTGTTTTTTCTAAAGATGCATCTATGTTTGAATACAGGTAGGCCTCAAGTTACCAACATCAGTTTAGTGACCACTCAAAGTCAAAATGACACTGAAAAATGTGACTTATGACTGTTTTTCACACTTACGGCCATTGAGCAACTCCTTGGTCACCTGGTAAAAATTCGCCCACTTGGCAACTGGTTCATATTATGATGGTTTCAGTGTTCCTGGGTTCACATGGTCCTCTTTTGCAACTTTCTGATAAGTAAAGTCAAGGAGGAAGCATGGGACTAACTTCAGTGATTACTTACGGACTGTGGCAAAGAAAGCTGGTAAAATGGTGCATAATACACTGAACAGCAGTCTCATTTCACAATGGAAATTTGTGGCTGAATTGTGTTCATAAGTCGAGATCTACCTGTAATCATGCTTTATGTGTTTGGATCTGGCCTGTCCTCAAATTGTGACTTTTAAGTTACCTTTACACGTGTTGTATTCTATTTTAATATTTTACTTCCTTTTCCCCCCCTCATTTGGAAAAGTCTGGAAGAAGCGAGAACGAAACTGGTAGCCAGAGAATCAAACCTGTGTTTGAAGAAGATCCTCTGTTCGGTCGACAAACATCGTACCAACATGCCGCTGTCCATATACCGACCGATATTTACGACGGCTGTAAGTATGGAGAGATTCATATCATCATTAATGCTCTTTCAGATTTAACGAATAAAAATGTCTTTTAACTCAGCCATCTTCATGCTCTGTTGTAACCTGTTGTGGTTCGCCGGCTGAGGTCTTGGAGAGCAAGGACTCAGGTGAGGGGCCTGCGTGTGATGCAGGGATGGGACCAGGACCATCAGGGAGTGGAATGCTGCCTTTGGAGATTGTGGAGGCTGGCAGCAGTGAGGAAGAGGCCCCCGAGGAGCCTGTGCCCAGTGCGCGTACACTCAGGGCTGCTCGAAGGAAAGAGCAGCTGCAGCAGCACAGGCAACTCGGGAGTAAGGCTGCAAGGTAATGGCCCCTTCCTCAAGAAATAAAAGCCAGCTGAGAAACCAGAGTTCTTTGCAGGAAACAAACAAGTTTTCGCACTCAAGCCTTGTGGACATTCGGATTATCTTGGTTTGTGTTTGGAGACTCTTTGTGTTTGAAATATTTCTTGGCAACTTTATCTAGTGTTCTTGGCAGCCTTGTACAACCTTGGCAAGGCTCGTCCTTATCAGAGACAATGAGTTTGAAACAGCCTTTTAACCGGGAAGGAACGGGATTCGTAAAGAATTATTAAAAGGTTTTGCTGTTACCTCCATTTCGTGCTTGTTTCCTTGGAACAAGGTTTGGGTCAGAACACAATCTTACAATGAATTGAAGACCCTAACTAGTGTATTTATTTAAAAAATACTCTTGCTTGTGAGGATCTGTTTCTCTAAATGTTATCCATGCAGAAACATTAATGTCAAAAGCAGTAAGTGGAGACAAAGCTTGAGTCCAATTTCTCTGGTAGAACATCAGATCCGGAGGATTATTCTGTGATTCTGAATTTATTAATTTAAAGGTGCATTGCAATTGCTGGATTAGAGTGGAATTTGCTGATATTTTAGGCTTTCAACTGGTTCTTAAGAGGAATTGATCATTTCTGAAGAGTTAATTTATATTCTGAAGGGAGGGGAGGAAAGTGAGATGATTCATAAGCAAAACCTCCCTTGAAATATTTTAATTTAATCCTGACTTTTCGGGTTGACATATACCTTCATTAAGCCCGTAATGCCAAACTAATAAGTTAGTGGGGGAAACTTTGCCACATGAATATTCGATATAATTTTACCATATGGACAAATGAGCTGGATTAACGTGCTCTTCTAGACACAGTTTAAATAGGAAAGAAGGTGGATCATGGAAAATGTCAGATTTATACATCATGCGCTGACTGGGGAGGCATTTAAGCAGCATAAAGAAGCCATTTCTGGAATTTTTGGAACAGTGACTAGAAGATTGATCTGATCTGGTGGTGCGTTTAGAACCAATATTTCCGTATTTGTCAACATAAGTCATAAACGGAGAAAAATGTAAGCAACAATTACTCTATTTTTCCTTCCTGAAAGGCAAAGAAATATTAGTCTCTTTATTATAAATAAATAAATAAATGTGGTGAATCACCCAGGGTCCTCTTTGGGTGATATGATGGGCATGTAAATTTGATTAATAAATAAATGAAATTCTATATAGTTTCTCAGTCATCCAAGTCATGGCTGTCCCAAAGGTGTTTTTTCAGGAGGCAACTGGACTTTCTTGTTGTTGTTGTTTTGGAGACGTTTCACTTCTCATCCAAGAAGCTTCTTCAGCTCTGACTGGATGGTGGGGGAATGGAAAGGTTTATATTCCTTGCAGACAGCTGGTCATTTGCATCCTTTTAGAGGGTCATTGAGGCCACCTGGAGGTTCATCTGTGTCCTCAGGTTCACCTCAGTGGTGCAAATGGTTCCCGTAGTCTGCATTTTTTTCCCTCTGGAAATCCATCCCTACTCCCACACCATTCCAAGGACCTTCATCCCGAATTGTATAGCTAAACATTTGTAGAGATTCTCAGTCCTCCAGGCCATGGGTGTCCCAAGGGGCTTATTCAAGAGGCAACTGGACTTTCTTGTTTTTTTCCTTTTGAAGATGTTTCATTTCTCATCCAAGAAGCTTCTTCAGCTCAGACTAAATGATGGGGAATGGAAGGTCCATGACCTGGATGACTGAGAATCTCCACAGATCTTTAGCTATACAATTTGGGATGAACATCCTTGGAATGGTGTGGGAGTAAGAATGGATTTCCAGAAGAAAAAAAAAATTGCAGACTACAGGAACTATTTGCACCACTCAGGTGACCCTGAGGACACAGATTAAACCTGGAAGGATTTATATTCATGTCAGGACAAGATTCAGCAGTCCATCTGCATTTAAAAGCCACTCTTTTGAAGACAGCAAAGTCCACATTTTCGACAGAGAGGGCCTATGGTTTGAAAGAGGGGGTCAAAGAGGCCATCTATGTCGAAGTTGAACAGCCTTCTCTTAAGAGAGAGAGGGATACGACATTCTCTATCTCCAGTCTACAACACAGCTCCTTTCAAAAGGTCCAAGAAGGCTCCACAACCATTTGCACCACGTAGGTGACCCTGAAGACACAGACAAACCTCCAAGTGGCCTCAATGACCCTCTAAAAGGATGCAAATGACCAGTCTGCAAGGAATGTAAATCCTTCCATTCCTCACCATTCAGTCAGAGCTGAAGAAGCTTCTTGGATGAGAAGCGAAATGTCTTCAAAAGAAAACAAAACAAAACAAGAAAGTCCAGTTGCCTCCTGAAAAAAAATCACCTTTGGGAAAATAAATGAAATATTTAACAGGCAGAAGAAATGGGATATACAACTGTAATTGTTAGCATTTGGAAAAGGACAGGCCAAACCTGGGTGTTTTGACTCAGGCTTCGTAAAGTGTAATTATTCACAAACTTGTTTAAAAAACCCAAAACCTATTTTATTGCAATGCTGGGAATTGTTTCCATTCCAACCAGAATTAATCTCAAACAGTCCCCTGAGATAAGCACCCACCTTTCAGTTCTGTGAAGTGCTGCCAAAAACAGAAGTATCCGATTAACTAGAAAAGAAATCAACCAAAGTTGAAGAAAAACCAACTGACGTACAAAAGAGCTTCAAAGATGACTTGGAACCTGTCAAACTACTTTGCTTCCTGCAAAATGTTCGTCATCTTGGCCTGACTTTTATCCCTTATGGGAGGGGCAATCACCTCCCAGCCTTACTCTCAAGTCGCCCCTTTTGTTTCAGTTGTTCTCGCCTTCTAGCAGCTCTGCGCACACACACACTGGGAACAGGCTCCCCTTGTTCCTCTGCCTCGCTGCTGCCAGACTCCAGAGACTCTGGAGTCAGCACCCCACTCCTAGATGGCCCTGGCCCCATCTCCGCATCAGACACAGGACCCTCGTCTGAGTCCTCTCCAGACTCCTGGACTGATCCCCGTTCTTCCCCACTGTCCGATTCCGCTGCCGTCTGTACTGGCGGCCCGCGAACCGCAACACCGGAGTGGAGTCAAGAGAGGAATCAACCTGGAATCATTATGTTCTCGCAAATGGTCTAAGCCCAACTTCTCTTGAATTCTGTTAATTTTTATCTAACATCAATTTAATTCTGCCCGCTAGTTGACTAAATTCTTCTCTATAGGCATACACAATTCATCAGTTAAACTGGAATTTAACCTCTGATCCTGATTTTTCACACTTGACAGATTACCACTACACCCAAAGCCTAAATTATGGTTAATCCAAAACGGAAGTCAGCGAATCATTCTTCCGTACAGCTTGGCCAAACTTTGTTCTATAAATGAAATCATTAACACCGTCAGAGTGGAATTCAATCATTCTTGACATTAAGAAGAAGGCTCGGATTGTTTTAGCTTGTGCGTTTCCCTTTCCTGTTTACAGCTGGTTTTTATTTGACACCTGAGCAATGGTTCTGATAAATTAAAGATGCACTGGATGTTTTTTTGCTCAATCAGACGGAGTTGGGGATTGGTCGAAACCCCTATTAGTGCTATGAATGCTCTTTAAAAACCATGTTGCTCATACCAAATATAATTAGTGTCTAATTTCCCAGAGGGGTAAGCTGAAATTGAGAAATGTCGCATCTGCGCAATCGTCTACGTTTGTCACTCCCAGGTTAAAACCCGGAATTGATGTGTGTGGGTGTGAGTGTCGATCCAGCCTCTGTCCTGTTTTAAAGGATATTGTCCACTAGTTCATCCCTTGGGACATTGTGTTGACAGTTGAACAATGGACTATAAAAGAATGGCAGGCCGGGACAATGTTCGGAATTAAACACGGTTCACGGATGTATGTAAAACGCATTCAGTCGCTTGCTCTGAATCTGAACATCAAGACGATGTTTTACACTCGTCCTTTTTTTCCTCCTACCCTTCATTTTATTACTTCCTGATGTGACAATGCTGCATTCTTCCATGTGTCTTGTAACAACCCTGGGACTGTTGTATTGTGTCACACACTTGGCAATTTGCAGTCGAAGGGAAATGAGGGGTACTTTCTTCCACATCGAGTTTTAAATATATGTAAGCAAGGGCAGAATGAATGGATGGATCTCTCCCTCTCTTTTTTTCTTCTTTTCTTTTCTGAAAATAGAGTCAATGCTTATTGTCTTCCTTGTCCAAGAATAATTTCAGCCTAGGTTTCAAAGGTTTAGGAGAGAGAGAGAGAAAAACAACAACAACAACAACAAAGCCATACACATCTTAACTGCAGGTGATTTGTTAGGCTTGTGCACATTTTGAAAACCAGTGAATCTCTGCTGATTGTGAATGTAGTCCATTTGTTTTCCCCCCCTTCTCTACAACCATCCATGGTGTTGTGTGTGTGCATTTGTCGTGTGCATTTGTGTGACTGCCCCCAAAACCCTATTTTGTGTGTGTGTGTGTGTGTGAGAGAGAGAGAGAGAGAGAGACAGAGAGAGACAGAGCAGAGACAGAGACAGAGACAGAGATGTTTCAATGATGCATAGACATCACACTGTTGGGTGCCATCTTGATTTTTTTTCAACAATATTCCTCTCTCTGTCTCTGTCTCTCTGTCTCTCTCTCTCTCTCTCTGTGTGTGTGTGTGTGTGTGTCTGTCTGTCTCTCTGTCTCTCTCTCTCTGTCTGTCTCTGTCTCTGTCTCTCTCTGTTTGTCTCTCTGTCTCTCTCTCTCTCTCTTTCTCTCACACATAGACACAATCACAGATGCCCCCATATAGATGGTGTATTTCTTTGTCATCCTCTGTATGAAGCTTTTCAATCCTTCTTTATCTTCTTTATCTTCTTTCTAAAGCTTATATGCAACCATTTGTTTCTCACCTTCTCTGCAAACAGTGGCATCCATGGTGTGTGTGCATTTTGATTGTGCAGTTGTGGCTGCCACTCTTGTTTTTTTCCCAACAGCTCTCTCTCTCCCCCTGTTTCTCTCTCTCTCTCTCTTTCTCTCTCTCTCTTTATTCCTTTCTCTCTCTTTCTCTCTCTCTTCCTTCTCTCATTTTCTTTCTCTCTCTTTCTCTCTCTTTCTCTCTCTTTTTCTTTCTCTCTCTCTCTCTCTCTTTCTCTTTCTTTCTCTTTCTTTCTCTCTCTCTTCTCTCATTTTCTTTCTCTCTCTTTCTCTCTTTTTCTTTCTCTCTCTTTGTCTCTCTCTCTTTCTCTCTTTCTTTCTTTCTCTTTCTCTTTCTATCTCTCTCTCTCTTCTCTCATTTTCTTTCTTTTTCTCTTTTTTTCTCTCTTTTTCTTTCTCTCTCTCTCTTTCTCTTTCTCTTTCTCTCTCTCTCTTTCTCTGTCTCTGTCTCTCTGTCTCTGTCTCTCTCACACACAGAGACATATCCCAGATGCCCCTCCTCTATATATTGTGTATTTCCTTGTTATAAGCGGCAAGGTGAACTTTTTCACTCCTTCTTTACCTTCTCGTCTTAGCTTCTCCTCAAAGCTTGTATTGGAGCCAGTTATTTAATTAATGACGGGCTCAAGATTACGACATGAAGAACTGGGATGCACCGATTCATGGACCGCAAGCGTACAAGGAAAGGAGGGAAGTGAGGATAATTCACTTGACAATCCTGGCTGATCTTTTCTTTGCCCGAGTCTCGGCACTCTCATCAAGCATTCAGCCGGCGTTAGGTCTGCTTCCTCTGATTATTCACCGAAGTCTCTGCGGTCTTTTGATCCCTGACTATACCTTATTGTACATATCAATTTTGAGCTTTTCAGGCATAGATGCTTTGGGGAGCGATGGTGGGGAATGCAAACGCTGCTTCTTCTTTTTTCAAAGCAGCCATTCGGTGATGAATTTTGCAGAGTGGATTTAATGAAAGTCCTCTGGAAGATGATACAATTTACATTCCAAACTTTTTTTTTTTTTTTTTTGGAGGGGGCAAATTTAATCGATTGACTGGCTGATAGAGAGCTCTTGGTTTGTGTGGCAGGCCCCAAGAATCTGGGAGACCAGTCACAAGTATGTTTAGGGGAAGGCTTTGTAGGATTGTGTGGATTGTGGCCGTTTCCATCACAAAGCCTCTCCAGCGAACCGACAGTTATTGGCACCCTTCAGACAGATTAATTGGTTTCCCCGAGAGGGAAGGATTAGATGGACAGGCTGGCTGATGTGTTTAAGTCAGTCCCAGGAGAATTTGCAATGGGACAATTTATTTCAGAGATTACTCTCCTGGATGGAGACTGCATGAATAAAATAGCTGGTCTGGGCACACATTGTGTAAGCGGCTCTTTACAAGGCTCCGGTTTCTTTGTATGCTTTTGGAACTTGGTCTTTTTTTCTTCCTCCCTCCCTCCCTCCCACTATTTTCCTCCCTCCCTCCCTCCCTCCATCTTCCTTCCTTCTTTCTCCCTCCATCTTTCTTTCCTCATTCAATCTTCCTCTCTCTCTCCCTCCATCTCCCTCCCTCCCTCTCTCCGTCCCTTCCTCCCTCCCTCCTTCCTTCCTTCCTTCTTTCCTTCCTTCCTTCCTTCCCACACTTTTTGGGTGTGTTTTACAACATTAGAGTGTTCCCAACTGTATTTCATTTATACCAGTTAGTTCTCAAAATTGATCTACATAAGCCACATACGTATTCTGAAGCCAAGTCAAAGAGTTTTCAGTGGACATTCAAATTATTAGAAAGTTGTAACAGTGGAAGAGAGAACACTTCTGTTCAAGTAATCCACCATTACTTGAAGAAGAAGTCTACGAACGAGTCCTGAATCTGGGAAACCCAGCTCTTACTTTCTCAGACACCATAATTCATCTTCATTGTCTAAGAGCAGATTGACTACTAGAATATTAATCAGGTTCAAAGGTCATTCTTGTTATGATGCTCTCCATAGAAACATTAGGAATGCTTTTGCATATGTACATAATAGATCAAAAACCCAGCTCATAAAAATGATCCGGCGAGGACCAACAGTGGTATCATTATGATGAATTGACTGCTCATCAGTCTCGGTTGGTTTGTATCTATCATGCAGCTTTAATCCACCCTCGTGTGTAAAGTAATTAAACTAAATTCCGAAAACTAACTTGGTTCTCAAATGCACCAAGCTTTTTCTTTGAAAATGTGCACTCGGCAGTGGGTTTAATTTCCAGACACAACTTGTCTCACTCTCATCCCAATGAACCCTCCAGTGGAAGGATGGATGTTTATTCTTGTTTTACTTTCCCAGTTTTACTCCTGGGGGGGCGGCATCTACGTTTTGTTCTAAAGAAATCATAAGTATCTCAATATTCCTGTCTCTCGAGGCAGTAGAAGCTGTGAGTGAAGTGCCTTATGTATATGCATAAAAGAAAATAAGTCTAAATTCAAAATTTCACTGTTTGAACGTTTGATGCTAGAACCCGGAAGAGTTGGAGCATTAACCATGGATTGCCCATCCCTAATAACAAGCCATATAAGCAAGAACACATGAGTAAGAGGGAACCTGCACCCTATAGAAGAACAGCTGTGTGTTTAGGGAATTACTCTTAACTACACAATGGAAAATTGGAGATAAATTTGACCCATAACCACATCACAATCTTCATAAACAACAAACTAACACTTGGGTATGAATCATAATTTTGGGGGTAGCTTAAAATTCTGAGAATAAATAGGGGGGTACGTTTTTACCTGGAAATGATTGATTTGGTGGTAGCATTCTGTTACTGAAGAGTTATAACTATGAGGAACTGTTAGGCAGGATAGGTAAGCTAAGATTTATGCTGCTTAAAGTAATGTTTCACCCAAAATATTAGTAGGTAGATACATTTTCTAATTGTTGGGGAAGGACTGGGGGAACCTGGGGGTGGAGTGCAAAGAGGGATCAGCCAAGAATCCCTACGTAGCCACAAGCAAACTAAGTCCAATCTCCCTTGAATTCCATGGACTCTAATCCAACTCCTAGCAGATGCTTAGTTGAGAAGATTCCTGTTTGTAGGCATGAGTAGCAATAAATCGGTTGAATTGAACCTTCGTCTGTGGACCTGGTCTTTTGTGCCTAACATCAATCAATCAATCACAATAGAGCTGGAAGGGACCTTGGAGGTCTTCTAGTCTAACCCCGTACTCAAGAAGGAGATCCTATACCATTTCAGGCAAGCGTCTATCCAGTCTTTTGTCCCAAAGGTGCTTTTTTTTCCAAGAGGCAAGTGGACTTTCTGGTTTTGCTTTGAAGACATTTCACTTCTCATCCAAGAAGCTTCTTGGATGAGAAGTTGTGATATGTAAAATTATACCTGTGAAAATATAAAGCAATGGTAATGCCATTTTCAGCCTCTGTGTTAACCTAAGACAATTTACTGAAATATCATGTAAGAATATTATGTATTGTTTTGTATAAAGGTCATATATTTGGCAGGTCATTCTGTCCAGTGTCATGTTAATGATGGAGATTACTGGGAATGGAAATGGGCAAACAGGATAGGGAAACAGATGGTATGCTACAATAGTAGGGTGTTGCACAGGGTGATGCCTAGCTGGATAGATTGCGAATCTGGAAAGGGGCAGAGACTGTATATATTTGAAACTGTGTATAAATCCCATGTTCTGACCCAACCGGGTTCCAAGAGATCATACACAAGATAAAGGCAGCAGCCCCCACCTTTTAAAGTTTAATCTACGAATTCTGTTTCTTCACAGATAAAAGGCTGCTTCCAACTAATTAGCTCCAACAAGAAAGAACCTTGCCAAGTTGTTTGTCAAGGCTGTCAAAAACCCAGAGATAAGAACTAGTTTACAAGAGTTTGCAAATACTAACTATGATGTCCACAAGGCTGAGCTTCAAAGAGACTTCTTCAAACCTGGCTTTTATCCTCTTGAGGGAGGGGCCATTACCTTGCAGCCTTACTCCCGAGTCGCCCATGCTGTTGCAGCTGCTTTTTCCTATGAGCAATCCTGCGCACACGCGCACTTGGCACAGGCTCCTCGGGAACCTCATCATCATTGCTGCCAGCCCCCACATCTCTGAAGGCAGCAGTCCACTCCCTAATGGTCCTGGCCCCTCATCTGATTCCTTGCTCTCCTCCACCATCCGCACCTGCTGCCGGCTAACCACAACACCCCAGCCTTCCTAGGAAACATGTCTACTATGGCTCTACCCATTAGCACAGAATTCCCTTTTGCAAAAGCTCTGTAATAAAGCTCTTATTTATTGTTCAAGAGTCTCCAGTCGTATGAAAGATTGATTTTTTTTTTTTTATCACAGAAGTGAAATGTCTTCCAAGAAAGTCCACTTGCCTCTTGGGGGAAAAAAACAAAGCACATTTGGGACAACCATGATTTGGATGACTGAGAATCTCCAAAGACATGTTGAGCCTCTTCTTAAAAGCTTCAGTGATGGAGCACTCACAACTTCTGAAGACAAGTTGTTCCACTGGTTAATTCACGAATGCATCCTTCTTATGCTATCTATTAGCTAAAGTTGCCTAAATTAGAGTCAGGGGTGTCTGTAGGGGAAGGCTTCAAAAAAAAATAAAGTCAAGATGGTAGCTTCACGTGATCACAGCTGGCCTCCTCTTAACTACTGTCTGCCTTGTTCACCGATCAATATTCTCTGGAGCCATCTGGCAACGATTAAACTATGAAAGTCAGCCAAGTGTTAAAACAAGTACAAATGTTTTCTATTGCCGTGTTTCCCAACCTGGACAATTTTAATACTTGGCTGACTTTCACAATTTGACCATTGCTGCTTGGCTTAAGGGTCTGTTAACCTCTGGGCTAGAAAGAGGTCAGTACCTCTCTGGACACGGTTTTTATTCTCCCAGCCTCTGCTCCTTTCTAAAATATGCAATAATAATAATATCCTATTTTAGAGGACAGCTGTTACAGATGAAAAATGAAAAAATATGCAAATATTTTAAATGTATTTGATAAATACTGAGATGGTGGATTAATGAAGGAATATAAGGATCCAGTCCCCAAATTTGTCAACATCTGCTATACAGGTAGTCCTTGATTTACGACCACAATCGAGCTCAAAATTTCTGTTGCTAAGCAAAACAATTGTTAAGTGAGTTTTGCTCTTCTTTACAATCCAAGTTGTTAAGTGAATCACTGCAGTTGTTAGATCAGTAACACTGTTGTTAAGCGAAACTGGCTTCCTTCCCCGTTAACTTTACTTGTCAGAAGGTCATAAAAAGAGGATCACATGACCCAGGGACAGTACTGTTGAGGTATTGAGATTGAAGAGCTGACCAGCAGCTGTAATGCTGATGCAATGTAAGGCTGATGCAATGTAGGGCTGATGTAATGTAAGACGGATGCAATGAAGATGAATCAGCATTGGTATTGCCTTTTTAAGACTATGTATGGGTCCACAGAAATTTTTACCCTTTTAAGAGGTGTTTATATAAGGCAGCCATTACAGGGCCTGTTTTCTCTTTCCTTGTCTCCTGTATCCATTTGCAGAGTTCTCCATGAAGAATTAAGAAGATTGATTGCTTGTCAGGTGTTTGCCTACCACTTATATTTCTGTATATGTCTTGTAGATAAACCACTATTAAATGTCTAAGTCTCTGTGTTCTGTGTTTTGCTCCTGGATTGTCTCATAATGGTAGTCATGCTGCAAACGCTCTGACAACTATGACCATCATAAATGTGAGATGATTGTCAAGTGTCTGAATTTTGATCGCAGGCCATGCGGCAATGGTCGTAAGTGTGAAAAATGGTCATAAGTCACTCTGTTCACTGCCATTGTAATTGCAATCATTAAATGAACTGTCGTAAGTTGAAGACTACCTGTGGAGGTGATTTTCTTCCACAGACAGGGATAAGAAGTCTAAATAATAGAGTGATACCCCTTGTGAGCTGTTCCTGAATTGGATGAGGAGACTGTGCCATTGTCCTTTTTATTTAAAGAGTAATTAAAATGCACCAAGAGCAGCTGTTTAAAAAAGGAAGATTACCTTGGCCCAAAGAAGTAGAAATGAAAAATTAATTCTGAATGAATTTATCCAATTCTCTTTAAAGTCCCAATTAACCATTCATGCAGGCTTTTTATGCATGATTCATAGGACAGTCTACACTGTACATATTCCTTTTGAAATGCTTTAGATTTACTATGCAAAATTGCAGAAAGTAGATAGAAATGGCCTTTATAGATATGTGGTCCCTGTGCCTGGTTAATGGTTTTCGTCATTCCCTCTTTTTGACCTCCAAAATAGCACTGGATAAGAATTTATGACAGGACGTAATGGCGTGATCATGATCAATGATTAAAAATAGAACAATATTTAGACTATTGCATAGGATAACAAGAATAAAATTTCCCTTTCCTTTCCTTTTCCTTTTTCCTTTTTCTTTTCTTTTCCTTTCATTTTCTTTCTTTTTTCTTTCCTTTTCCTTTTCCTTTTTCCTTTCCCCTTTTCCTTTCCCTTTCCTTTTCCCTTTCCTTTTCCCTTCCCTTCCCTTCCATTTCCTTCCCTTCCCCATCTATTTACTTCCTTTCCTTTTCCTTTTTTTCTTTTTCCTTTCCTTTCCTTTCTTTTCCTTTCCTTTTCTTCCTTTTTCCTTTCCTTTTCCTTCCCTTCCCTTCCCTTCCCTTCTTCCTTTCCTTTCCTTTCCTTTCCCTTCCTTTCTTTCCTTTTCCTTTCATTCTTCCTTTCCTTTCCTTTTCCTTTCCTTTCCTTTTCCTTTCCTTTTTCCTTTCCTTTTCCTTTCCTCTCCTTTCTCCTGTCCTGTCCTGTGAAGGGTTGGTGGTTTCTAAATCTCTCAGCAGATATTCAAAATAGGTAGTTATTAACATTTTTTATGCAGCACATATAATAATACATTCAAAGGAATGGAAACACAATTGACTTTTGTCATGCTTTTTAGATGATTCATATTGGTTTAATAATCTTAGCTGGGTTAATCAGATTTTAATACAAGGAGCTGCAATTTTAAATTGTCAGCATATTGATGTATTCTGTTCCTGAAATTTGGAATTAATCAGTTTTGAAGTGATTTCTGAAAATATTCCTGGATTATTCAGGGAGAAACTACTGTATTATAATCCATTGTTTGGAAAGACATGAAATTAGAATCTTAAACTACAGGTAACTCTTCTCTTAATTGGTGTGAATCTTTCATCCCTGATGTTCATACATTTTTCTTCAGCTGTTAGATAGTAACACCATATATTGCAATAATATCTATTGTCATTTTATTTGGGTTAAACAAATGCATTTTATGACTATTGTTGTCTGGCATGACAAATTGTTGCAAATCTTTTGACAGAAATATTTCCCTCTTGCATAACAAATTGAATCTAGGAACTGAATTTGGAAAGAGTTGGTAACATTATAACAGGCTGTGCTCCCAACATTTGCTAATGATCTGCATGTCATCACAAGAGAATTCAAGAGCTTAGCAGTAACAACAGAAACAAACAAAAGCTGGAAGTATTATACAATGTAAAGAATTTATTACATGTTTTTGGAAAATTGTTTGATGTGTAAATACCAGCTGTTGAGTAAGCTTATTATCATTGGCATCATGGATTTTTTTTTTTTTTGGGCGGGGGGGAGATACCAAGCAGCTTGCTGTATCTTATATTTGCTAAATAAATTCAGATATTCGCTTTATTAAGTAAGAAAACTCAGTTTGCATTATTTATATTCGTGAGTGTCATTTTGTGCCCAAATCTGAAATACAGGTAATCCTCAATTTATGACTGTAATGGAGCCCAAGGTTTATGTTGCTAAGTGAGATACTTGTTAAGTGAGTTTTGCCTCGTTTTATGATTTTCTGTCAACTCATCAAACATCCCTATGCCTGTTTTAGCAGTTGCCATAAAAAAAAAGGGGGGGGGAGGAAATCTGGAAAGCAGTGCAGCAGTTTGAAAGTGAAAGTACATTCTAACTCTTTATCTTTAAAAGATTGTAACCAAACTACCAGAGCTTTTGCCTGGAAATAGATTTAATTGGAGAACGTGATTGATGACACCCAGCCCGTGAAGATGCTCAATTGGAGAATCTGATTTATGACACCACCTGTGGAGGGGGGGGACAGGATCATAGGGTACTGTAAATGATATAGGCCAGAGTTGGTGTCAAGTCATGAAACATTTTGTATACACATTTTATAGTTGACAACAGAAAGAAGGGGGGGGGAGATTCAAAGAGCAGGTGGCAGTGTGGAATCGAAAGTACTGTCATGCCCCTGGTGGAGTCTGACTCTGAGGAAGAGGAGGAACAACCAACAGGGAGTGGGAGTGTGGCTCCAGAGGTGGTGGAGGAGGCTGGGGAAGGGCAGAGGCCGGCTGAGCAATCAGAGGAGGATCCAGGCCCATCCTCTATCCATCCTAGGTCACGCAGGGAGGAGAGGATCAGGGAAAAGCGAGGTCTACTCAAGAGGAGATTACCATGATCCTCCTCGTGGCTTGCAGGTGGGAGCTATGTATATAAGTTTGCAACTGCGCAGTTGGAATTGCTGAAGTCAATTTAGTGTTCACCTTGAAAGAGGTTTATCTTTCCTGGCGTTCTTCCCATGGACTTTTCTCGGTTATTTTCCTGGAGTTTATAATTAGTTATCTCGGCTTGCTTCAGAACTTTCATCAATGCGGTTTGGTTTGGTTTTCTGTTTGCCTCCTTATTTACTTTTGTGACTTTAAACTGTGCCTAATGAAACAGTGAAGTTAAGTTGAAGGCTTTACCGGACTTTAATATATGTTTTGGGTTTTGGGTTATTTTGAGAGACTATGGTTCATCACAAGTACATTCCATTCATATTTTCTTCAAAGACTGATTAGATGACTGAAGCTTCTGCTGCAAAAAAATCGAATTGGAGAGCATGATTGATGATTCTTGGCTATGGATGTTTTTCGTTGGATGATACACCCAGAGGGGTGGGGGAAAAAGCAGGATCAGGGGTGACAGTGAATTACAGTATTACAGGAAGTGACGAAACAGGCCTATTATTCATCCTGCAAAGCCTGCAGAGGTGTTTTTCAAGCCTCTGGGAGGCCAAAAAAGGCCTCAAACCAGCGGAAAATCAGTTGTGAGGTGCTGCTGGTAAGGTGGCAGCGGAGGGGGGGATTGCACACGTATGCACGGGGGGGGCACGCATTGCCTTCCGGGTGCTGGCATATGAGTGAGGGCGCGCAAGCACACACGCAATTTTTGGCACAGGAGCCCAAAAGGTTAGCACTATATATTGCAATAATATCCATTGCCACTTTGTTTAAGTGAAACACATGCATTTTATGGCTATTCATTCCCCAATTCTGCTTTCTTGAAAAGTACAGTTGGGATTTTTCTGAGAAGCTATTGCTTTTTTTTTTGGAAGTGTTCATGCACATTTTTAGCCATTAAGAAAGAACCAAGCTTCTCAAAACAATTACATTTTTAATGACCCGTTTTTCAACTGAGCTGACTTCACCTTATCAAGAGTGGCTGATGGGATATGTAGTATGCCCAATCTGCTAGATTGAATTGGATGCATAGTGCCAGGTGCTAAGAGTGAGGAAGACTTGCTGAGTTCAAAGCACTGAAGAATTTATTATTTCTACCAATATACAGTATAAGAAGCAGGTGGACTAACAGTTAAAGGTAAAGGTCTATTGTGGCAATGCAATGATTCCAAACAAATGACATGTTTAACTCCACCTTCCATCCCAGCTTGCTCATTTCTACAGGTTAGACTCTTGGAAGTGAAAGGGATGAGTGTGAAAAATCTCCCCTTCTACTTCCTCCATAATACAGGTAGCCCTCAACTTACAACATTGCACTTAGTGACTGTTGAAAGTTACAATGGCACTGGAAAAAGGGACCTATGACCATTTTTCACACTTATGACCATTGCAGCATCCCTGTGGTCATGTGATTTACATTCAGATGCTTGACAACTGACTCATATTTATGACGGTTGCAGGGTCCCCCGGTTACGTGATCCGCTTTTGCGACCTTCTGACACTAAGGAACCAGGTTTGGGTCAGACCACAGTGATTCACTTAACAAACATGGCAAGAAAAGTCATAAAACAGGGATGAACTCACTTAACACACGTCTCACTTAGCAACATAAGTGTTGGGCTCAATTGTGGTCATGTTGAGGACTTCCTGTATGGCTTAGGGAATCATCCTTGTCTTAGGTTCGTTGGTCGTAAGTCAAGGTCTAGCTGTATTGCTTAGGGAAACATCCTTGTCTTAGATTGCTTCTTATTAGTGTTCAGCTGAGCTGCTTGGCTCCTATTTAGATGACATCTATGGGAACCTTTTTATGAATAAATGATGGTATATTTTGAAGGCGGCGGTTTGCGAATTGAAGTTAAGGAAAGAGAAAAAGCACACACAAATTTACTTTTCCAGGGCTGACTTTAATCCTTTGTTAATCAACGTAGACTTAGGATGGCTCTGCAGTGTGTTTACCTCCAAACTTCGAAATGCCATCAGGAAGGAGAAGGAGAAGGCAAAGGGGAAGAAGGAAGAAGGAAGAAGGAAGAAGGAGGAGGAGGAGGAGGAGATTTAAAATATTGGAAGATAGATGGAGAGAGAGAGAGAGATGATAGAGAAATAATTGATATCTAGATAAATCAATAAAATATTGATGCAGAAGAAGAAGAGGAAGAGGAAGAAAAAGAAAAAGAAAAAGAAAAAAAAGAAAAAGAGATTGATAAAACTCCATCTGATGAGTTAAACCTAGGTCTGTTCCAATTAACTGAATGCCAGCTGTTGCCTAACGTGAGTGAGTTATTTCAGCCCATAAAGGAGGCATTTAAAAGAGAAGGAAAGCTGCAGCTATTTATCAATATTGTAATGAAGCATTAATTGTTTGTCCCATCAATTATTAATGTAGGAGCCTCGAGAAACCACCTCACCTCCCCCCTTTTCAAAAATGATTTAAAAAAAACCCTCAATCTGTTTGGTCTGAAAAAGAAAACGCCAGAAACTAATATTATTATTCTCTTTTTATTTGTTTTTTTGTTTTGCATAAATAACTCCAGACTTAGTCCATTTAGACTCCTTCTATCTTTAGCCCTTTAGCACTTCCCCAGTCATGCTGATGAATATAAATTTTTATTTTATTTTACTTTTTTTTTTTTGGTATTTCAAGTTAATTCTGAAGCTGGCCTGGCCTATGAATATTAATGTTCACACAGCTGATCTCTCTCTCTGCAAATGATCACATCCATAAACATGAAAACACGGTTAACTTACAGTAATGAGCACGCTCTTGGAATTTGGATCCCCAGCTGGCTTTACAAGCCTAATATTACATTTAATGCTATATTCTTCTCTTCTGTCTCATTCTTACTCCCTCTGGATCCTCTGTTATTAATTTAGCCTCCCTCCAGAAAGTGGGGCCTCTGTTAACTCCCATGGGCGATGCAAAACATGGTATTATTTTTATATATTTGTGAATAGGCTATTGTGACAAAAAAAATCAACCATTCAGGTATTCAGACAACTGAAAACTGGAGACACGTAAACAATATATAAGAGCTTTTGCAAAAGGGAATTCTGCCCTTGGGCAGAAAACATTTCCCCCAGGAGGGCTGGGGTTTATATACAGGTTCAAGTATACAGTCTCTGCCCCTTTCCTGGGTTCACAATCTATCCAAGCTACGTAGCTCCCTATGCAACACCCCTCTTACTATAGCATAACATCTGTTTCCTTGTCCTGTTTACCCGTTCCCATTTCCAGTAATTTCCATCATTAACATGACACTGGTCAGTGTAACCTGCCAAATATGTAACCTTCATACAAAACAATAGAGAATTGTCACATAACATTCCAATAAATTATAATAGGTTAACACAGAGGTTAAAGATGGTGTTACCATTGCTTTATATTTTCACAGGTATAATTTTATATATCACACTATGATCCAAAAAATCCACAGTTGTGCAGATAGTCTTCGGCTTACAACATTTAGTGACCATTTGAAGTTACAATGGTGCTGAAAAAATAACAATAGATCAACAGAAGTGCCTAGAAATGCCTTTGTTGACTGCTCTCCCTGTTATGGATATTAATTTTTTAAACCAGGCTAAAAGTGGGCACGCTTTGAAGAAGAATTTGATAGCTAAATACAACTGTGGGATCCTTGCTGCTCTCTGGGCTTGGTTGGTTTTCCTTGCAGATGTTTCGTTACCGAACTAGATAACTTCATCAGTGCATCTGTGATGCTGTTATGTAATTGGGTAACAAAACATTTGCAAGAAAACAAGCAAGCTCAAAGAAGATCAAGGACCCCACTGTTCAACACTTTAAATGTTCTCTTCCTTTGGAAACATATCTGTCTTTTCTAAAGCATTTTTTTTTAAGTGAAGAGGACCTAGTATTCATTTAGAAATAGAATGATAGGGTTGGAAGGAACCTTGGAGGTCTTATAGTTCATCCCTTTGTTGAAGCAGGCAAATGTCTCTTCTTGAAGCTTCTAGTGATGGAGTTTGCACAATTTCTGAAGGAAAGTCGTTCCACCGATTCATATTAATTGTTCTCACTGCCAGGAAATTTCTCAGAGTGGTGTGGTAGCCTACAGGTGGAGCTCTCACCTCACAATCAGGATTCTATGAGTTCGACCCTAGGTAGAGGCAGATATTTCTCTCTCTGGGCACGATGAGAATATATCTGCTGAACAAAACTCCACATTGGTGACAGGAAGGGCATCCGGCCACTAAATGCTCTGCTGGCTCCATTCAGTTGCCCAGACTCCACCTCTGTATTATGGGATCATTAAAAGAAGACGATGCCTGTCAGGACATTTCTCCTCAGTCCTAAGTTAGATCTCTCCTTTTGATAAGCTTCCATCCATTACTTTTGGGGAATCTCTTTTGGTGCACGGCACAGTACAATCACAACTTTATACATGTGTGTTTTATTTCCTCCCGTCCTTTTGCAGCTACCATCGTGCTGAACGAACTGAACTGGACAGGTGCATTAGACGAAGTCTTTAAAAAGAACAGGGAGGAAGATCAAAGTTTGCTGTGGCAAGTTTTCGGCAGCGCGACCGGCCTCGCTAGATACTACCCAGGTAATCTGCCATCTTGTCAGTCGATATTCCCTGTCATGCCCCTTGCCTTCTTCTCTAGACTTGCTCCATGGAAATCAGGGGATATATTTTTAATGGGGCTGGAGGGGAAGAGGCAGATGGTTTTCCTCTCTGATGTAATGCTCTTTGAATAGAAAATAGAATAAAATAGGAATAGGAATAGGAATAGGAATAGGAATTGGAATAGGAATAGGAATAGGAATAGGAATGGAATAGAATAGAATAGAATAGAATAGAATAGAATAGAACAGAACAGAACAGAACAGAACAGAACAGAACAGAACAGAACAGAACAGAATAGAATAGAATAGAATAGAATAGAATAGAATAGAATAGAATAGAATAGAATTCTTTATTGGCCAAGTGTGATTGGACACACAAGGAATTTGTCTTTGGTGCAAATGCTCTCAGTGTACATAAAAGAAAAGATACAGTCATCAAGAATCATCAGGTACAAACACTTAATTATAGTCATAATGTACAAATAAGCAATCAGATCATACTAGGAAACAGTCAATATAAATTGTAAGGATACAAGCGACAAAGTTACAGTCATATAGTCACAAGTGGGAGGGGATGGGTGATGAGGAGTGATGAGAAGATTAATAGCAATAGTAATGCAGACTTAGTAAATAGTTGAACTGTGGAGGGAATGGCATGTTTAGCAGAGTGATGGCGTTCAGAGAAAAATTGTCCTTGTGTCTAGTTGTTCTGGTGTGCAGTGCTCTGTAGCGTAGTTTTGAGGGTAGGAGTTGAAACAGTTTATGTCCAGGATGTGAGGGGTCTGTAAATATTTTCACAGTCCTTTTTTGGACTCATGCAGTATATACAGGTCCTCGATTGAAGGCAGGTTGGTAGTAATTGTTTTTTCTGAAGTCCCAATTACTCTCTGGAGTCTGTGTCCTGTTGGGTTGCAGAGCCAAACCAGACAATCATAGAGATGCAGATGACAGACTCAATAATTCCTCTGTAGGAACTGGATCAGCAGCTCCTTGGGCAGTTTGAGCTTTCTGAGTTGGCGAAGAATAGTCTTAAATAGTCTGAATAGTCAAAAATCTTAAAAGTGTTAAGGGCAAAAGAAGAAGAAAAAGAAACTTCCCTGATATTTAATTAACTCCAGCCTCTTCACCAAAAATGAGATGGGATATGGGATGGAGTCTAGTTGACATTTTCAAGAAGTGCATTAACTTTTGTCAGTCGGCTGCCTTCTCCTATATCACGGTTGTAAGAGCAGTTAAGGTGACATCTGGCAATTCTTGAATCAGCAGCTAGAAAGGCAATTTGGCTTCGTTAAATTGAAAAGTGGCAGGACTGGGTTCTTTTCTTTTTAAAGGGTGCTCTAAATTGTCTCCAGTGTCCCCGAAGGCTAAGGTCATCTACTGGAGCTGAGACTGATGAATACAAAACAAAAGGACCTCGTTAGATCCATTTAGCCAGTTCCTCTCTTTAGCAGAGGCACTGTAGTAATTCATTTAAATTGGGAGTATCTTTTCAATATCTGCAGGCCATTGGTAGCTCCCACTCCATTTATATATTCTAGGAGGCTGATCTAATGAACTTGGTTGAAGAGTCTTTTAAAGGATTTTTAAAAAAATTAAGAAGAAGAAAACATTTTTATTATCTTTTTAATGCAGTATTTTTCTGTGGCGGGCTGTAGGTGGTAACTGAATCTTCTGGCGTAAATTTGGCTTAAGTTAAATGGAATTGAAGGGTTCTGGGTGAACTCTGAGCCTGGTGGTATTATTGGAGATATTTCATTTTCAAACTAGGCAACACCACAATGCTAACCCTAACACTGATGATGTTCCCTAGTTTGGGTAATGAAATGTCTGCAAGAAAACCACCAAGCTCAGAGAGCACCAAGGACCTCAGACCTCCTCCTCCTCCTCTTCCTCCTCCTTCTCCCTTGGGTTGGCTTCAATATGCTCATCAATAGGCGGATTATGAGATGGAATGGAATGGAATAGAGTAGAGTAGAGTAGAGTAGAGTAGAATAGAATAGAATAGAATAGAATAGAATAGAATAGAATAGAATAGAATAGAATAGAATAGAATAGAATAGAAT